AAATAACCTGCTGTCTTCCGAGATCCATTAGCTGCACCACGGCTGGAATCCGTGGACCAGGACCTGAAGCAGGTCTAGTAACAGTAGGGGCAGGAAGGGGCGATGAGGGAAAAGTATTGGAATATGAGGGGATTTGTTCCTCATTGTCGCCATTTTGTTCCATGCGGCGGCGCTTAGCTGGTCGGACAGCTGATGCGACGAATCTTTTACTGGCACTAGCAGGCGTAGCAAAACTATTCTCCGATTATATATCACTATAACCTGAGAATGATTCACCTGCTTCAGACTCGTCGATCATATCATAATCTGGCAATGGGACACATGAACTATTTGCTTGGGTGCCAAGTGGTGTTGAGTGGTGTTGAGCAGTAGCGGTTGACTTTCGTGGCATCCATACCCTCGTTGCACCAACATGTTCACACTCACTATCAGTTGTTTCTATATCCTCAGGCTGTGTATAGTCCTAATCTATATCTGAGTCGTCAATATCAGATTCGTCTACGTCTTTGAACAATTCATTGGCAATTTCGTCTTCGGTCAATGACTGCGTGGCGCGGTGCGCTGAGCGAGGTCGGACGCTGGGTTGTGAAGCGCTCGCCATGGTGTCTGGCCACTAACTAAGGCCTGGGAAACAAAGGAGGCCTGCACTAGATTTTTTTTTCAAGATGGCGTCTGTTTACAATTGCCCGAAGGTACTACGGGCTCACCATAGCCCGTGCTACTTGGAACTTTGTTCCAGGTAGCGAATCTTTAACAACAACAACAACCTGGCTAAGATATGGGTGACCACTTTACACCGCTGGACATTTGAATCGTGCCTGGCACCCTTTGGCGTATATATACGCCATGCGCACGGTGGGGCATGTTACTCATGGTGTATATATACGCCATGCGCAGCTTTAGGGTTAATATAATACAGTCCACTATTGAAATAAATAAATTTATTATAAATTGTAAATTTTAAATCATTATTTAAATTGATTAACTGATTGTAATTAATATAATAAAATCCCATGAGTCAGTTTTCCCCACAACCTCTCCCCCCCATCACCACCACCTGCAACTCCAGCATCTCCGAGCCTCGCTATTCATATAACCAACCAAAACCTAACTTTATTAACTTATCATAACTTTACTAACTCCATCTAGCCTATTATCTTACCAAACTTAAAATTTTACCAATTCGCCCTAAGCTAACTTAATCAACCAAAGTTGCTTTTCCTAAACCTAGCTCACTTTGTTAACAAAATTCTAACTTTACCAACCTAATCTAACTCTACAAACTCATCCAGCTCCATCTAATCTAACGTTTCCTAACTTTTCCAACCAAAACCAATGTTAACCTAACTGAGCCAAACTGTATAATCTCAACATTCTACTTACCTGTTTGTTGGATAATGCGTTTATTTCGAGGATATTGGATTTGTTTTATTATATATTTAATTTGTATACAGAGTAGTTTTCAGGAAGAAACTATAACTGGGATAGATTAGATTAAGAGATTATACATGCGATGTATACACAGTGTACATCAGTCAAAGTGGGAGTGATCAATATATACGGTACTGAGAATGGGATCAATTGTGCTGACATGGGTTTGGATGTGATAAATAGATCGTCTTAACTGCTCTTTCCTATAATTTTTCGGGAAAAATATTGTGTAACGTTCAACATGAAGAAGGGTAGGATAGTTAACTTTGGTGTTATAGTTGCTGTTGATGGTGAATAGAGTGCTAAAGATCTACACTTTCTCTAAGCTATGAGTGGAAATATTGTGTAGCCAGAAGAACAAACTGGTGGTTAAAATTGAACTTCTCTGTGAATTATGAGTATAAATATAGTTTGACACTGGAGATATGTTCACAATATGATAAGTCTTAAAAAAAAAGGAATGTAAGGTGAGAGTTGGTGGGGGTAAATATATGTATATTGATGTTCCCTATGGAATAACAAAATATAGTGTAACAAAGTGTATGCAAGATCTTGGGGTAAATATGATAGGATAGGCTGTGAGGGCGATATAATATTGGATATATTGAATGGATTAGCTTATATTTCTATTTTATCCTAAATTTATGAAATTTTTTTACAATTTAAGGTAAAAAATAGCAGTATGGGCAAATTATTAAGGTGCACAAGATATTAACATACTAGTCAGAACGCTTTAGTAGTCAGACCGCAATAGTAGCTTTATTTCAGGTTTAGTTTAAGTATGATGAGATGGTGAGTGAAACTGTACTTTCTTGGAAAGGTCTTTGATATATTTTAGCTGAGAAGCCCTAATTTATATATAAAACGTAGTTTTATAACTGGAGTTTTGTTGGAGGTATAGCTTAGATACTGTTAAGGAGGCGGGCACCAGATCTGTCCTGTGGAGGGATTTTTTTTTATTAATACATGAGGTACATCTGCATTTGTGCAGCTACCCTAGACTATATGAAGTGGAGTACAGTGTGTCAAAAAGCTAACTTCGTGATGCTAAAAAATCCCCATCACACAGGATGGTTAGTCATACAGAGGCATGTGATAGACAGTCTGCACTAGCAGACTCCGGGTGCATTTTGAGGATATCATCAACACAAGAGTGAATAAGGTAGCAGTGGTAATAAAAGTCCCCATCTCGCAGTATGGTTAGTCATACAGGGCCATATGTTTAGTAGCCTGCACTGGCAAATTTTGGGTTCGCCAAAACCTGCTGTGCTGTCGGCACCAGCTCTTTCTCTCTATCAATATGTTTGAGTGAATTAATAATGAAGAACTGAAATGTGTTTATAAAAGTTTTGTTGTAAATATGAGCCTCGAGTACTTTTTTCTAAATGTAAAAACTCCTAGTGAGGTTGGTGATGCAAGAGTGGAGAGTCAGACTACTAAACAATATCCTACTTGCAGCTATATTGAGACTGGGGATTGGAGAAAGATCATCGGAGAAACTCGTTTTTTTGTGATGAATTAGGAGAAATATATAAAGCCTTCCTGCGTTTTAATAGTAAAAATGCTGTTATTGGAAAATTTTAAAGATGTATAAGACCTTAAAATAATAGTGTACGAAAACTATTTGAAACTAAGCCCAGCTCTTGGCTTTATTTATCTTAAGTTTGTTAGTAACGCTATGCTTTCTAAGTTGGGTTTTGGGATAAGCTGGACAAAATAGGTAAGGTTGTGTTTAGTTCGAGTTAAAATATACTTTCTAAGAATATAGTGTAAAATAAATTGTTTGTTATAGTGTAACATAAATTACTTCTATTGCAGTCCTAATCTGGGAATAGAATGTATTAAGGGAAGTATTACGTTGTTTAAGTATGGTGAGATAAGTTATTATAATGTCATATAGAATTGCAAAACTTATACTGTTTCCTAATTAAGAGTTAAAATAAAATATGACAAAGACTTAAACCAATCCGGGGTTGATAAAACTGAATTTTCCTAAATATTGTAGAAAAATATATAGTATGACATTGGGGATCTGATCGCATAATGGGAGTCTTGGGGATAAATGGAATAAGATGGGTGATGGGAGGGGGAGGGGGAAGATAAATGGATGAGATTTAAGGAATACATTAATTATAATATTCCATGATTTAAGAGCACAAAAATGTTGACTTGGACAAAGATGTATTTATTACCTTAACTTGCAAGATACACAGAATTAGTCGTGTGAAACTTAGGTCTGTTCCAATTTTGATTACAGGTAGATTACGAATTGGGTAGCCAGTGAAATCTATACTTTTTTACAGGTGATCTTGGAATGAAATGAGCTCACCAAGGTAGAATTGGTATGGGTAGCTTTTAATAGGTTGGGCAGAAAACTTTACATATTAAAGCATATATAACGTTTCATTTTGCATTTCCTTTGTGTGTATTGTCTTGGAGTGTACAAGTTTGGTTCAGAAAAAAATAAAAGTTGTGTGTGGTATTTGAAAGTTAATGGGAAAAATAATTAAGTTGGATACTGATAAAGTAATATAATTAATATTATGCTGATTGGGAACTCGTCTGAATGAAGTTTCAGAAAGTTTTCATGTTTTAAGTTTAACAACAGTTTAATAATATAAAAACATATTAAGCTGGTGAAATGTATTAGTAATTTATATAAAATGTTAAAAGATACTGGAAAACTTCTATCATAAAAAAGTATTAAGTTGATGAGGTAATATGGCAAAACAAATGTATTGTTATTTCCTATGTCAGAGAACCTGTAAATATGCAGTTAGAGTCATTTATTCAAAACTTTAACGTTACCTAGGTGTTCAATAATAGGAAAAGTAATAAGCTGATGATAGTTAAAGGAATATGTTTATGAAATGCCTTACATTTTCTATCTGTCTGTAGGTCTTGAGGGTAGTCAGGTTAGAGAAATTAGTTAGTCTGAGCTAGCTTATAGTTAAGTAGGATATCCGATCGGGTTCTCTAGATTTACTTCATAATTTTACCTAAGTTCACGCAAAAATTTTCTCCTTGTAAAACTTTGAAGTTGTTGAAGGTCTCAATCACTGTCTTCCTAATGATTAAATTTCCGTCTTTCACTGTGGTTCAAGTCCCTCATATATGGACCACTGTCCACCTATTCTGATGGATATCCTTCTCCTATATATATAACAGAACTCCTTTAGAGGGTTCAACTACTCCTTTTGCATATCAATCTCTGAGCACCATACAGAGCTTAAGGTGAGGTTATCATGTGTCTTTGTTTACTCCTAAAATAATCACTAAAAGATTCAAGGTTTTCCTCTATTCATGTGTCTTTCACTCGCAGATTACTGTTGTCTTCTGTTCATGTGTTTCATGGTCATGGGCACCCAGTCCTTCTGTTTACGTATCTCTCATTCATTGGTTAATGTTGCCTTTTAATTACCTGTCTGTTAATTTTAGTTACTCACAAAATGAGTACATAATTCATCTCCAAACAGGCTTAAAAAACAACCTGTGGTTACACTTTGGAAATGAATGTTAAAAGTTCATCTGTTCTCGAGAAACGTTAATTTCTTAATTTTATTTTCAAGCGAGTCGTGATACAGTAACACTACTGAGCGGTGGTGTTGAAGCTGTGTTGGCAACAGTGTCTCAGCCTCACTGCTCGGTCATGTTCTTCACGGACGGCGCCTCAACCCTCAGCACTGTGGCTAAGGTGAGTCTCAGCCTCACCTTTCCATCATGTTCTTCACGGCCGGCGCCTCAATCCTTAGCACTGTGGCCAAGGTGAGTTTCAAAATGCTGAAATTGTTAACATTAATCAATATGTTTTCCCAACATTATTATACATTAGGAATCAGACCTGAGGCCAGGATCTGCATCCAGAGAACGATACGCCCCAGGCTTTATTCCCAGGGTTTCCAGTCAATGCAAGGTGTTCAGGGAAGAGCATGATGCAGTAAGCTTGATGACCAAACCACATATGAGAAGATGACAAGACGAAGACGTTTAAGTTCATCCTGAACCGTTATCAAGTCGATTGTGACCAGGACGGACCGAAACGTACTCGCCTCTTCATCTTCTGATGTGTGGTTTGGTCATCATATCTTCAGCAACGTTATTGTGTAGTAAGCTTCTCTAATGTTTCTAGAAAATTATTCCCTGTGGGTAGCTGACGCAATACTGTCACAATTCTAGGAGAAATTACATGATGTTCCACATCCTAATGCAATGAATTCTGTATCACTAAAACTACGGATTAGCAGTGTTAGTTAATTATGACGCTTAGTACAGGAAATACATCCCATTGTACCAAGGATTAGAAAATGAATATTAAATGATTATGATGCCTAATACAGGAAATACATCCTATTGTATTAAGGATGCAAATAATTGTTGGAAATTTCCAACAATTACTGTGTACATATTGAAAAGGGCACAAATGCACATCAACTGCGATACAAACAAAAAGTAATTTGGAAGCATAGAAAATGATTTGAAAAAATTAATGAAAATATATTTGTTGCAACTCCCGGGTCTTGGATTGCCCGGGCGACCACTTCTACAAACTCCCTGCACAGACGAACGTATATATCGGTGATATCATTTTGCATCTTCTCCAGATCGCCAAATCGCCAGAGTAAGTTGTTTTTTATATTTACTTTTACAGGTACATGTCCAGGGAAGGGATTTTAACAATTTACAATGAAAAACTAGATTGGGGGAACACTTTACTTTCCGTGCTCGGCAAGAATGTCACAATAAACGCGGTGTAGCACGGAGGTTAAAGTCAGTATGTAAATTAACAGAACATGCAACATGAGGTCTGGCCATATAAATTATATTATTTTATACCTCTTTATACGACAAAGCACCTGGTTATATCTTCACTAGCATAGGTTTTTTAAATTCCACTGAAAATAAAAATTAATTTAAATAACTGAAGCTTGAATACCGTTTTTTTTAATCACAACATTATTATTCTGCTGGACAATTTACATATGTTCACCTATGTCAAATGAATTTTTCTATAATTAACATATGCTTCAGACGAAATATCAATATATTTTCCTAAGTCAGGAATTAATAGTATAAAACACCAATAATTACAAGCCACTGGTATGCAAATTATTCATTTGTTTTGCATATGCTAGCAATAGAATGGTATTAAATTTTGGGTGAGGTGGCTTCTGGCTTATTCATGAGGGAGAGTGAAGGTCTCCTTCCATCTCTTATGCTCTAAGTGCCCGCCTGCCGAGATGTAAACTGAGCATTAACAGGCAATCACTTAGATGCCTGATATTAGTCCTATCACAACAACCGGAGCTGAACAGTTTAAATATATCATCAATAATACTCCTTCTACTCATCAATCCAACACATTCTTCCTCGTCCTTCTGTACGTGGCCTCATGGATGGTTAAGACGAATGTTGAGATTATAGTGTCAGGTAGCACAGTGATATATCTCCGTGCGTGTCTGCTGGAAGCTGCAAGTGGTTCTTCCAGTTGGCGTCAAGACAGCTAACACACTTCCACTGCATGTGGTAGCAACAACATTCCCATGGAGGTTAATTGGCGATAACAGTTTACCGATGACCCTGCGAAGTTAGACAGCTGGCTTGAGACTATGTATATACACTTCAAATATGGGCCCACTTCTGGTAACACGTCTGTAAGTTTACCCACACACACAATAGTGGGTTCTACACACGCTGGTTCAATTATAGGTCTGGTATATTAATGACTCTTGAACTACAGCTCAGTATTGTGCCCAGTAATAAGTAGTTGGGAGATTATTTATCTAGCCATGGCTATTTACGGCAACTGCAGGATATTGTGAGGAAATATTTAAACCATATCAGTGACCTCCTTGTGTTAATCACTGACGTTAACTACACGAATTGTGGGTTAGAACACAAAGATATTCCGAGCCTGGAGAAAACCGATTAGTGTAGTATGGTACCAACTCTTTGAATGAGGCAGTTAGCCTCGAGAGACTAGCTCTCTGCTTTTGAAAAGTGTAATGGCTCCATCTCTGTCAAACAATCGGGTCTCAGAAGAGACCAAACTTCCTATTGGGAGAGACACCGTGGTGCTCTCCACGTCATGAGGAAACCACGAAGTGACATATTGACATCTATCTTTTCTGCACATCTATCTACCCAAGGGCTCTTATTTCACAGCATAAGTTTACCCCCTCACACTTGCTTCCAAAAACTTAACCCCCTCTTCCAGACTCTCCTGACAAAACCGTTTACATGCATATTAATTTATTTTGATGTTGTACGAGATCTGACTGATGTTCTTTCCGCTTTTTATGATACACGAACTAGCTACACACTCAACATCATTGGCCACTGTGCATAATTAAAATATATCTGGCCACTGAGCAGTCTTGAACAATCTGTATACCTGTCTCTTTTGAAGAGAAGTTCCATGTTCCAAGTTCCAAGGACCCTAGAGCAGGCAAGCAGGGGATAGAAGACGGGCGAAGATGCAGAAATCATGAGCTAGGAACTGGAGATAAATCGAAGAGTGGAGAAAAAGGTTAGTGGCCCAACCACTGTGGATAAGACTTGCAGCTGATGCTGTGATGTGGTGGTAGAGTAGAATTCACGTGGTTGTTCGCTGTTGTGTCTTGCAGGAGGCAAGGCTTCTCGTCTCGGATCTGGTGGAATTCTTCATTACTACATTTCGACGATGTTTTTTTTATGTTTTTTCATTCTTGGATTATCGGTCTTCTTCTTCCCGGACTTCTTGGCCAGTCCGTTGGTCTTACTGCACAGTGACATGGTGAAGCTGTCTTTGAAGGTAGTGTTCAGAAGGAAATCTTCGGTTGAGAGTGGATTCTTCCATGGAGGAGATGGTGCTCCAACCGAGACTCCCCTATCCGATGAGTCGGCCGACTCAAAATTAGAGGCAGTGAATTTTAAAAGATGAGTTCTTGCTTGTTGAATCTCAGCAGGTCCTGCAGTAGATGTAAATCATTCAGAGGGTGTACACACGAGAGATGGAACTGTGGCAATTGTCGATGGATGAGGAGGAGGCGTCGGCATCTGGGTCGCTTGTAATGCAATGGCAGCAGGAGCGGGCGTTTCAGCTGTTGACAGTAGGCCCGTAAGCATGGTGGCTCTCAAAGTAATGTCTGAGACCGGATCCGGAGAACTAGAGGTTGAAGTGGTGTTGGTGTAGACTTTATCAGGAACGTTGAAGGCTGGGAGACCATTCGCTTTGTAAAAAATATTCAGAATTCTCACATAATCTTGGGGGTTATTGCCAGCTATCCTCTTGGCCGCCGATGTCGGCCAGAATGAACTGTGCTATACAGTGATTGGTCGAGGTGGGATGGTGGAAGTGGCGTTGTCTGGCTTGATGAATTGCTGGTCAGCCGGGAGCTGGGTCTCCATTGACTAGTAGAAGCAGTAACAATAGATTGTTGATGTGTGTAGGTGGTGGTTCCTCCCTCCCGGAAGTTGCAGGAAAGTGGCGGCTTGAACGTTGAAATTTGAGGTTGAACTCAAATTTACTGAACATAGACATCCCTCCATGCGAGCTCATTTTTTAGTTTAAAGTTTCTCCATCGTAAAAAATAAAATATTACTATCACAAACCATGTATTGGGTGGGTCAACCATCCAGTTTACATCTCAGTAACAGTTTACTTGGATGTCCAAAATCATGGGTACAAATCAAAAAGTTGATTGGTTGGTTTGAGTTGAGGCGTCTGGGCTGGTACTGGCTCCGGCAGAAGATGTGGGTTTTCTCCGTGTCCTTGATGACTTCCTGTCTGTGAGGACAGCGGTTGGAGATTGCAGGATGATCGCCATTGCAAAGCAAACAGCGTAGTGTTTCTGACTTTCCCTATTCTGCAGATTGAATAGTGGTGGTCGGCTGAGCAGAGGCTACACTTTTGAATTCGCTGTTTAACAACATTTGCTGGTGGAGTGGGTGTACTCAGAGCACCGGAGGCACTGGTTGACATTGTGGAAACGTTCCATCTTCACACGGAATGGCAGAATGTGGAGGGCGAAGCTGTAAAGACCATTTCTGGTAGTCAGGGTAGCATAAGCTACGTCTTCGAAGGTGAACTTCAAGGCACGTGATTTCATGAGGAAGTGAGCATGATGGATCTGTAAACTCGGATTTGACTCTTCGAAGTCGTGCATAAAAACTTTTTCATCTGCTGCATCTTGGTCCACGATCCATTGGCCGAGTTCACTAATAAAGACAAATCCGTGCAGCAAGGTACTGACGTGGGAAATTGAGACAAAGGTGGAAGTCCTCGGCAAAATCGGTGTTGAGTTTACGCAGTTTGTCGAGGAGCTCCTAACAACAGAAGTAGAAGACGATGTCCGTGCCTTGCTATTCGCCTATTACAGCCTGTTACTGTTTCCTCAATTCTTATATTTTAAAACTATGCCATGAAGACTACCTAATGTAACTGAATGCAAGCCACTGGAAATGTATTACAGAGTGTTTTTAGGTTTAAGAGAGGTTTTCGTATATTCTGCAAACTAAATCATGTCGGGAAATTTTTGATCACACTAATGTATTGTTGAAAGCATTTATTATACAATTTTTTCCAGAATTATTCAATCAGTGCATTTAAATACAACTACAAAAACGCTCAAAAGTGGAATAGCATACATTTATATAAGATTTCATGATAAATAATAATATTTATCCCTTATAGCAAGGTTATCAATGGGCTCCTTTGAGTGTGTCGGTGTGGGAGGTGGCAGCGGGCGGGGAGGACCCTAACGTGACGCTGACGCAGCTCTCCCACGTGGTCCACAAGGCTCGGCGGGTAGGTCACTCTCACATTACTGCTGACGTGGGTAGGTCACTCTCACATTACTGTTGAAGTGGGTAGGTCACTCTCACATTACTGCTGATGTGGGTAAGTCACTCTCACATTACTGCTGACGTGGGTAGGTCACTCTTACATTACTGTTGAAGTGGGTAGGTCACTCTCACATTACTGTTGACGTGGGTAGGTCACTCTCACATTACTGCTGACGTAGGTAGATCACTCTTACATTAGTGTTCATTTGGGTTGGCAACTTATACATTGTACATTACTGCTGATGTATATCATTCTTGCATTATTGATTATATAGAGGGGGGGTCACTTTCATATTACTCTTGATGCATTTTCCCATGTCTGCTTGCATGGTGTTGTGAACCACATCCAAATGAAACATACATTCTCTCCTGGCATGTCAGTAATTCCTTATTCTGGCACACTCTGGACTGACACTGGAGGTATGATATGGTTTATGGGGTAAACCAGAGTTTACCTCATACACCAGAGTTTTATGAGGTAAATTCGGGGGTAAACCAGAGTTTTCTCCTCAATGCAAACTCTGGTTTGCATTGAGGAGAAAACATCGAGTTTAAGGCATTGGCGGTAAAGGGCAAGATGCTAGTTTTGAAAGGCGAGATGGAGGCGGCTGGATCAGGAGGAAGGATGGATAACGTCACCATTAGACACTAAGAGAAGGGCAGGGGCCGTTGCAAGAGAAACTGGGTTAAATTTACTCTTAAATCTATATGTGGACCATGCATTAGAATGGATTTAATGAGGTTTTAAATGTTTCAAATATAAATAAAATGCAAGAAAATTAAGAATACAATAATTATGCTACTATCTGATTACATATTTTGTGTGGATAGGAAGGCAGGAGGGTTACTCAGTAGACAAAAAATTGAAGCTCTTGCAAGGCAGGATCAAATATACATTTGGGGTTTATGGCTCATGCTCTGTCATGATATGGAAAAATGGTTTACCGAGAATTATATAAAATATATATAAATGTAGTAGTTTCCCTTGTAAATTGATGAAAATACGGTCTTTATATTGTATATTATTTAATGAAGAAAAAATGTTGGGATGCGTTGATTGGCTGGGATCTCACTTGTGTGTGGAAGGTCAGGGGGGAGACACGCTTTTGCCGCCTTGCAGTTTTAAGGTGAAAATTTTATTGGCACCAGCCAAGAAGAGGCTAGAAGTAAGAGTAGGGCACAGCTGATGTATCTACCTCTGTAGAGAACCAAGGAGCAACATTTCCAAGCCATGGGTAGAAAATGTACTTTCTGTCCACTAAGTGCACGACGTAATCAGGTGTGCCAGAAAGCTTGGAAACCTGTGTTCACCTTAAACACAAGTCGAGGAAGAGGATCAGAGGTCGCTAAACGTTTGGAAGACAGTCAAAGGGGGAGAGCAGTCACCCCTTTCCCCCCTGGCACCATTTTTATTTAGTAGACTAGCTGAACCCGGTCGTTGCTGTGGTTCAGCAACGCATGGGCGCTGCTGAGCCACAGCAACCTTCCACTGTCCCACCAATCCTTCCTACCATTCCCCCCCCTCCCCCGTCCCCTCATCCTCCCAACCACTACTCACTCTCCCGTTCCCTCGTCCTCCTAACCATTCTCCACTTCACCATCCCCTCATCCTCCCCACCATCTCCGACTCCCGCTTTCCCTCGACCTCCATACCATTCCCCCCCCTCTCTCCCGGTCCCCCTCGTCCTCCCCACCATTTTCTATTCCCTCTCCCATCGTCGCTACCATCCCCAACTCCCCTGTTCCATCGTCCTCCCCACCATTACCCCCCCCCTCACCTGTCCCATAGTCCTCCCCACCATCCCCCCACTCCCATCCCCTCGTTCTATCCACTATTCCCACTCCCTCGTCCGATGCATTCCCAAATGATCTGATGTTACTATCAGAAAATTGGGAACATCAAATGATCTATAACTGATATATAAGTTATATATCCCATAACTGATATATAAGAAAAAAACAGTTAAAAACACAAAATGAAAAAAAATACTATACTCTTGAAATGAACGGTATGGTAAACAACACAGCTCAGTTCCAATGCAATGTCACATAAAATAATGAAACCAAATTGAAAATAAGTCGAAATCTATAAAAATTCAATTTATCAATGAAATTGGAAACATTAAAATGGAAACATTGAAATGGAATCATAACATGTTTAATTATAGTGTTTATTGCTCTTACGTTTAAAGTATGGCACTGTTCAAAAAAATGTTTTTACCTGTCACAGGTGTGGCATACAAACTTATACTTACAAAATGAACGGTATGGTAAACAACACAGCTCAATTCCAACAGAGTGTCACACAAAATAATTAAATGAAAATGAAAATAAATCGAAATCTATGAAAATTCAATTTATCAATGCAATCAGAAACATTGAAATGGAATCAAACATATTTAGTATAGCGAGTGTTGCTATTACTTGCAACAGATGGTGCTTTTCTTCAAAAAGGCATGTTTTTACCTCTCACAGGTGTGGCATCTATAAAGTAGACACGTGTATTTGGATGGAATGTTGTCAAAATTTCAAGACAATCGGATAAGAACTTTCGGAGATCTCAGCATGTGTTGCTCCTACATTAAACAGATGGGGCTGTGAAAAAAAAAAAAACATTTTTCCTGTCACAGGTGAGGCATGTACATATTAGGTATATAAAAACACGCACCTATTCGAATGCAACGTTGTGTCAAAATTTCAAAGCAATTGGTAAACATGTTTCAAAGACTTTCCTCACATGAAAAACAGATGAAAAACACAGTTTAAAGAAAAAACATGTTTTTTCCTGTCACAGAAGTAAAATCTATATAGTATGTATATAAAAAATAACACATCCAAAATATAAAAAACTTGGATGCGAATGTAACGGGTAAAAATTTGAAATCAATCGGTGAAGAACTTTCGGAGATTAGCTATTTTGAACAAACGAACATTTACATTTTTATTTATATAGACTAGCTGTACCCAGCCACAGCAACCTTCCCCTGTCTCCTAGTCCTCCCCTACCATTTCCCCCCTCACCTGTTTCTTCACCCTCCCAACCATTCATCGCTTCCCCATCCCCTCGTTCTTGAAACCATTTCCCACTCCCTAGTCTCCTGGTCCTCCCCATCATTCCCCCCTCTCCCGTCCCCTTGTCCCTCTCCATCCCCCACTCCACTGCCTCCTCATCCTTCTAACCATTCCTCACTCCACAGTCCCCCACGTCCTCCCCACCATCTTCTACTCTCCCGTCCCCTTGTTCTCCCTACCATTCCTCCCTCCCCCCGTCCCCTCATTCTCCGATCCACCCCACTTCCCTGTCCAATTGTCCTCCCCACCATTCTCCATTTTCCTGTACCCTCGTCCCCAACTTCCCTGTTCCCTCGTCCCCACCATCCCCAACTCCCCTGTCCCCTCGACCGCACCGTCCCTAACTCCCCTGTCCCCTGGACCGCACCATCCCCAACTCCCCTGTCCCCTCGTCCTCCCCACCATTACCCCCTACCCCCCTCCCCTGTCCCCTCATCCTCCCAACCATCCCCTCGTCCTCTCCACCAATCCCCACTCTCTCGTCTGATGCATTCCCAAATTATCTGAATTTCCCGTCAGAAAATTGGGAACATCAAATGATCCCATCACTGAAATATAAGAAAAACAATTAAAAAACGAAATAAAAAAAATTATACAAAAAATAACAATCATGTTGTTGTTTAAGATTTGCTACCTGGAACAAAAAGTCCTAAGTAGCACAGGCTATGGTGAGCCCGTAAAAAAAAAACAAATAAACTAAACTCACAAAATAAACAGTATGGTAAACAACACAGCTCAATTCCAATGCAATATAACACAAAATATATCAATCAAAATGAAAATAAATTGAAATCTATGAAAATTCAATTTACCAATGAAATGGGAAATATTGAAATGGAATCATAACATGTTCAGTAAAGCATGTGTTTCTCTTACGTGCAACAGATGGCACTGTTTTTCAAAAAAAACATGTTTTTACCTGTCACAGGTGTGGCAGCTATACTTACACTCATGAAATGAATGGTTTGGTATACAACACAGCTCAAATGCAACGCAGTGTCACAAAAAATAATTAAATCAAAATGAAAATAAATTGATATCTACAAAATAATCAATTTATCATTACAATCGGAAACATTGAAATCGAATTGTAACATATTTAGTATAGCATGTGTTGCTATACGTCCAACAGATGGTGCTGTTTAAAAAAAGAATTTTTTTTTTCTTTTCCAGGTGAGGCATGTATATCTATATAAATAAAAAGAGAAATGTTCATTTGTTCAAAATCGCTAATCTCCGAAAATTCTTCACAGTGTGCTTTGAAATTTTCACACAATGTTCCATTCGCATCCGGCCAGGTTTTTATATACATACTACATAGTCGTCACGTCCGTGACAGTAAAAAATAAACATGTTTTTCATGTGAGGGGAAATCTTCGAAACCTATTTACCAATTGCTTTGAAATTTTTATACAACGTTGCATTCGAATAGACACATCTTTTTATATATCTACTATATACATGTCTCACCTGTGACAGGAAAAAACATGCTCGTTTTGAAAAACAGCGCCATCTGTTGGACATAAGAATAACACACGCGGTAATCTCCCAAAATTCTTCACCAATTACTTTGAAATCTTGACACAACGTTGCATTTGAATAGGTGCATCTTTTTATATACCTACTAAATAGATGCCACCCCTGTGACAGGTAAAAACATGCGTTTTTTAAAAACAGCGCCATCTGTTGCACATAATGGCAACATGCACTCTATATTAAATATGTCACAAATTCCATTTCAATGTTTCCGATTGCACTGATAATTTTTTTCATAGATTTCGATTTATTTTATTTTTTATCGAATTATTTTGTGTGAATTGCATTGGATTTCAGCTGTGTTGTTTACCATACTGTTCATTTCGTGAGTATAGTTTATTTTTTCATATTTTCATCATATTTTTTACCAGTTTTTCTTATACTTCAGTTATGGGATCATCAGATTACTTGATATTCCCAATTTTCTAATGGGAACATCAGACCATTTGGGAAGGAATCGGACGAGGGAGTGGGGAATGGTGGGTATGACGAAGGGACGGAAGTGAGAGATGGTGGGAAGGACGAGGGGACAGGGGAGTTTGGGACGGTGGTGACGAGGGGATGGGGGAATGGAGAATGGTGGGGAGGACAATGGGACATGGTGGGAAGGAAGAGGGTATGGTGGAGTGGGGAATGGTGGGGAGGACGAGGGGGACGGTAGAAAGGGGAATGGTTGGGAGGCCGAGGAGACGAGTGGGGAGAGAATGATGGGAGAACTGAGGGACAGGGAAGGTTGCTGTGTCTCAGCAATGCACATGCGTTGCTGAGCCACAGCAACGCGTGGTCGGGTACTGCTAGTAGTAAATATATCAAAACATGCACCTATTCGAATGCAAAGTTGTGTCAAAATTTCAAAGCAATGGGTAAATAGGTTTCGAAGATTTCCCCCTGCATGAAAAACACTTAAAAACACAGTTTTTTTTAATAAAAGCATGTTTTTCCCGTCACAAACGTGACATCTATATAGTATGCATAAAAACCCGCTCGGATGCCAATGGAACTTTGCGTGAAAATTTCATAGCAATCCGTGAAGAACTTCCGGAGATTAGCGATTTTGAACAAACGAGCATTTACCTTTTTATTTATATAGATGCCACTCCATCACAACACACAGCGGGAGGTAAGGACTCTCTCTTTGCGGTGATTAACAATGTGCTGTGGGGAGGATCATGCAATGGTTCTAGTTGATAAACAGTGACCTGCATAACCAATATATGTAATGAAGGATTTATATGAGAGTGCTGGATTATTAGAGTATTTTTGCCAGAGTGAGGCAGTAGCAGCACACTCCAGCTGGGTCACGTGGCAAGTGAAGAGGTCTCAGAGCAGCCTGTGGCGTGGGCTCGGGTAGGAGAGTTGCCAAACTCTGCCAGAGGCAGAGTGGAGAAGTGTTAGATGACTATTTGCAATTTTGGTTGTGTATTAAATGTTCTTCATGAGTGTTGAGTGTATAAAATATTGCGGGATTGTGAATATCTACTCGGAGGCGAGATCTTAGGACGACGAGTATGTTTGATTGATGAAGATCAAGCCACCCGAAAGGTGGAATGGGCATGAATAGCCCGTAAGACCAGTAAGAGGTGGTGTGACAAGTCGTGGTTGTCTCCACCACATAACATTATCCACCTCAGTGGATTAATCCACCAAGATCCGTTATGACTATTGTTTATTGTTTTTTGTGCTGTGTGTGTGAAATTGACGCAGTGAAAGAAAGGCGAGAGGTTTTGATTTATTGATGATCACTAAATGGGTATCTGGTTAACGACCAACGAAAACCAACTTGATTGTGGAGTAAGGAGCCTGGTGTTATTAGTGGATGAGACCCCACATTGAGAGGCTAAGTGTAATTAGGGTTTGTCAAGAGGGCTGCTGTATTTTAGTATGTTTGTCATTCATGATTGTGTTGGATATATATTGTTTTGTAGAAGTGACTAGATTGTCACCACAAGCTCTTGTTGCTAACCTGAGCATACCAGTCGTGTGGGAAAGCTGTTATATTGGATGACCAAAGTATTCATTGTAATATGAATGCATGGTGTAATTAAGCATACATTTACTTGAAGGCAGGTACTTGTATAAATTTATGTCTCAATCAGTTGTACATATCTCTAGAGCAGATGTTTACTCAGATATTTGTGGTGTGTTCATGTGTACAGATATGACGTACGGTAATCATCACAGGTTGTAGAAAGAAGACTTTATAAAGGTAAAAGAGCAAACATCTGTTGATGTTTCCAATGCTGTTATTATTTTTATTAGAAACTATGTGCAGCCATTCCCCCAGACAAGTATTTTCAAGAGGACCTTCATGCAGTTATAATGCCACTCAGACTTAGTGTTATTTTGAAAATGGCTGACTTCACCTACTTTTCATAGCTACAAGATGTCTATTGCCAGTGCAAGAATTACATTTCCATTAACTCAAAAACCGTCTTTGAAGCGTTTTTCTTGACATTCGAATTATAGGGATTTTCTACTGACGTCAACAGGTGCGGCAGGTGTCGTGGTGCGTGACGGTGGTGGTGGTGAGCGACGACCTCGCCGCCTTCGCCCAGTGGTCCCTCAAGGGCCGCTTGGTGGGTCCAGCGACCAGGCTCCTCGCTGTCACCAACGCTTCCTTGGTCAATAATGCTGACCTCAGCAGGACCTACTCCATGATGAATGCTGTGATGCTTGTCACAGAATATTACCAGAAAGAGTTACGGTACACAAAATAAGGCTGTGTTATTTATACGGACTAAACTACTAATCTTACATGTAATAGACGTATCTTATTGAGCCACAAAGGCCTCTTCTGGATAGCAAGCTTTAAATCCTATTAAACAGAAATGTTATTTGGATCCAGGTGCGGTGTGTACCTACACGTTCCATACAGCCCCAGGGGTGCTCAGGCACTGAAGGTGGCCTTCTGGACGCCCCACCAAGGCCTCGCTCTCACCTCCAGACTCCCGCTCTTCCCTGACAAGTTCTCCAGGTAAGTGTAGGTGCTGTCCAGTCCTACAGCATCTTATCTCCAGGGAGACAAGATGCTGAAGGATACCTTGAACCCCACATCTTGGCCTCCTCCTCCTCCTCACCTCCCGCTCCTTCAATCATGCGAGGGTTCTTTAACTACTTGCAATGACTGCATCTGCTTACGACAATCCCCAATCCCAGTGGTGGTCACTATTCAGGCTGCCAGTAGCGGCAATTATTGTACATGAGAAAAAACACCCCACTGTATCTCAGAGGGTGAGTGTTCGCCCCATAACATTAATCTCCCACAACGATCATATAGTTACCTCCCATCACTGGGTCGTAGGTTCGCTCTAGCAGATGCAGTATTCTAGAGCTAAAGACATTAGGGATTCACACTAAATTTTATTGTTCGGTGTTAAGGCTGCAGAGCATCGGTACCCAGAGTCTGTTCCTAATTATATCAATGGTAAAACATGGGAGTTGTACTTGTGGAAGGATCAACGGAAAGTCATTGTTATTAAAAAAAATACGTTTATTCAGTAAACTTACAGCTAATAGACAGGGAGCTGTGTATTAGCTCTAATACACTAATTAATAACATCAATTAAGTGTTATTTTCTCTAAACTATACAAAAAACATAATACAGCAAGACTCGTTTCCATGGCACTAATACGCAGAGTCTTACCGTCTTCCTTAGGAACAAAGTGAACTGACTGAACGCTGAACTACTTTGCGACACTAGACGGTAACAAGGGACATTGACGGACTTACAACTGTCCGTCAATAAACAAAAGTCAGTGAACTATCACCTTACTTTCTGAAAAACTATGTCTCAACTGGACTGGCCAATGGAAAAGTTGAAAAACTCTTCTCAAACGTCAGAATCTACAGTGACTGTGACTGAAAATAAGAGTCTAGAAACTCTTTACTGTAGTAAGAGTCCACAATGTCTGACAAATTACAAAGTCAATAAACTCGTCTAAATAAGTTACAGTTCACAATGACTGAAAAATCTGGCAATCAGGAATCTCCCCTCCAAAGTTAAAATCCACAAAGGTATCAAAATAAGACACTCCCTACAAAAAAACATAAGTCACTTCACAACAAGAGTTACAATTTGCGAATTTAGTGATAAAACTTATTAACGCTGAACCACACAATAAACCCCTTCTTACCTTACTGGTAAGAAGACAATAGATATATACAATTATCCCCATTTTAAAACTCAGAGAGTGCACTTAATACATGTGACCTGAACAACAACTCAGAGACCAGTGAGGCGGCTCCTGGCTGGCCACCACAGGTCAACTAACAATACCAACATTATACTTTCATCTAATCCATCTCGATCAAACAAAAAAAAAACATTTAAATACATTTAAGTAAATCAAACAACTCGGAAACATACGCAGATATTCTACTACACAAAATAAGCATAATATTAATCTTACTTTTTCGGTCATATTTAATAATATATATATATATATATATATATATATATATATATATATATATATATATATATATATATATATATATATATATATATATATATATATATATATATATATATATTATTAAATATGACCGAAAAAGTAAGATTAATAATTATAACACGAATTTTCTCGATATTTCTTATGTTTCTTTTCACTGTTGGTGGTAATTGAAAAATCAATTCTCCAAAATTTATTTTTAATTCTAGTCTGACGCGACACTTGAACGCGTTTCGTAATAACTTATTACATTTTCAAAGACTTTTAGTTTACACACACACAACTATAACTTGCAAACACTAAACAGAGTTCTTACTATGCAATGATTTAAACAGCTTTCATTTTTCATTTTATACCCGCATTTTGGGTGAGGTGATATGTTACAACAGTGTTGGATGAGGTGAACAAAACTTTCAACACAGGATAGAACACGAAACAATGGGTATTAAAGGTAAGAATGGAAGTAACTGCAGAGGGCCTATTGGCCCATATTTCCTGATGCTTCTATATTGGAGCAGAGTCTTGAAGTGGGTAGAATATAGTCGTGCATTAATTGGCTGTTGATTGCTAGTGTTGACTTCTTGATGTGTAGTGCCTCGCAGATGTCAAGCCGCCTGCTATCGCTGTATCTATTGATGATTTCTGTGTTGTTTGCTAAGATTTCTCTGGTGATGGTCTGATTGTGGGAAGAGATTATATGTTCCTTAATGGAGCCCTGTTACTTATGCATCGTTAATCACCTGGAAAGAGATGTTGTTGTCTTGCCTATATACCGAGTTCTTTGAGGCTTACAGTCCCCAAGTGGGCATTTGAAGGCATAGACGACGTTGGTCTCTTTTAAGGCGTTCTACTTTGTGTCTGGAGAGTTTCTCATGAATTGGCTGGCCGTTTTCTTGGTTTTATAGTAAATCGTCAGTTGTATCTTCTGATTTTTGTCTGTAGGGATAACGTTTCTATTAACAATATCTTTCAGGACCCTTTACTTCATTTTAGGAGCTGTGGAAAAGAAGTTCCTGAAAAATAGTTTAATAGGGGGTATAGGTGTTGTGTTAGTTGTCTCTTCAGAGGTTGCATGGCGTTTCACCTTCCTTCTTATGATGTCTTCAACGAAACCATTGGAGAAGCCGTTGTTGACTAGGACCTGCCTTACCCTACAGAGTTCTTCATCGACTTGCTTCCATCCTGAGCTGTGGCTGAGAGCACGGTCGACATAAGTGTTAACGACACTCCTCTTGTACCTGTCTGGGCAGTCACTGTTGGCATTTAGGCACATTCCTATGTTTGTTTCCTTAGTGTAGACTGCAGTGTGGAAACTTCCGCTCCTTTCCATGACTGTTACATCTAGAAAGAGCAGCTTCCCATCCTTCTCCATCTCGTAAGTGAAACGCAACACAGAATTCCGCTTAAATGCCTCCTTCAGCTTCTGCAAATGTCTGACATCAGGTACCTGTGTAAAAATGTCGTCAACATACCTGCAGTACATGGCCGGTTTCAAGTTCATGTCGACTAAGACCTTTTGCTCGATGGTACCCATGTAGAAGTTCGCAAACAGGACACCTAGGGGAGAACCCATGGCGACCCCATCTACTTACTTACACATGTACCCATCCAGGCTCAAGAAGGGTGCCTCTTTAGTACAAGCTTGGAGTAGTTTCCTTAGAATGTTTTCTGGTATGTCAAGAGGAGTACAGGCCGGATCACGATACACTCTGTCTGCTATCATCCCGATTGTTTCATCCATAGGTACGTTTGTAAACAGTGATTCTACGTCCAATGAGGCTCTTATCCCTGTGGCCCGTGTTCCCTGCAGTAAATCAACAAATTCCTTTGGAGACTTCAGGCTGAAGGCGCAAGGGACATAAGGAGTCAGCAAGCCGTTGAGTCGCTTCGCCAGTCTGTACGTGGGTATGGGCATCTGGCTGATGACTGGCCGAAGTGGGTTTCCAGGCTTATGTGTCTTGACATTTCCATAAGCGTATCCAGGTTTATATTCACCAATAATCTTTGGCAGGTGGAGTCCAGATTTCTTGGCGTTCACAGTTTCGATCAATTTGTTGACCTTTGCTTTCAATTCGGCTGTAGTGTCCTTCGTTACCCTTTGGAATTTAGTTTGGTCAGAGAGAATGAGTTTCATTTTCGCCAGATATTCGTCTTTTTAAGAATGACGTATATTGGCGACTTGTCACCTCTCCTGACGACTATCTCCTTGTTCTCACGAAGGCTCTTAGCTGCCGCTTTGAGCTCGGGGAACAGTATGGTGCTTCTGTAGTTGCCTCGATTCTTTCCTCCTTCCGCAATACAACCCATTCTCGCAAATTTAATAAGTCAATATTGACTTATTAAATATGTGCATAGGTGACATACTTAACATAATAGTTTCCCTTGAAAAGCTTCATAGAAAACACCGACCTTACCTAACCTACTTAGTATGTTAAGATAAGCATCTTATTGCTTCGTAATTACAATTATTACCTAACCTATACCTATAATAGGTTAAGTAACAATTGTAATTACGAAGCTATAAGATGCTTATTTTAACATACGAAGTAGGTTAGGTAAGGTCGGTGTTTTCTATGAAGCTTTTCAAGGGAAACTATTATGTTTAGTATGTCACCTATGCACACAACTAATAAGTCAATATTGACTTATTAAATTTGCGAGAACGAGTTGCACAATAAGTTCTGCTTGTAAAGTGTCTTTGGTGGTGACCTTCTTTTGTGTCTCGAGGTCGAATATGTCGTCCAACAGGATCTCCAACTCCACTTTCCGGGCCATCTCACTTGGTCTGGACATAACGTGACAGTTTATACCCAGATTTAGGAGAGTGACTTGGTCCTCAGTGAGGTTGATTCCTGCAAGGTTCAGAAAGCCGTCTCTTGGTTGTGGAATTGCCATAGGTCCTCCATATAACGTTGTTAGTTTCTTGATCACTGAACACTGTTCAGTTCACTTGAACACTGAACACGTGGGGCGCGTTCAGGACCAGGTCTCCGACATTGGTGATCTCCATTGCCTACAAAACCGCTATTAAACTGCTTCACTCTCCTGGTCATGACTCGAGCACTAAGTCGTCCCCAGGCTTCATACATGAACGAATGATTAGTTCCTCTTCTTGACGGGGCACAAAACTAGAGATTCTTACCTCACTGCCAGGAGCCTAAAGACCATGCAGCCTTCTCTCACTACCTCTGCTGCTCGAGTGAGGTCAAAACCCCTGCTGCGAGCCTCACACCTTCTCAAGAAACTCTCGACATCTCATGTCAAATCATTTATTCACATATTTATCCTCTGCCCATGCTTTTAAACTCTTCATTAACCTTAGCCAAGTATTTAATATATATATTCACATGTCTATATTTCCTTTGACCTCTCAGTTGGGTCTGGTTTGTTGAATAACTCTCACAAGGGGAAGACTCGTTTTCTCAGGCTACCTGGGGTAGCCTGAGGGGAGTTCTCTTCGTTTCCTACGTATTTCCTCCCAACAACCTATGAACCTTTATCATCCTACTGCCAGCTAACAGT